GCAGGACAGAGGCCTTGTCTGGCTGTCCCTGCATTGCCTCCCACTGGCCACACACATTTTGTTTTTTTTATTTTTATTTTACTCATTTATTTTGAGACAGTTTTACTCTGTTGCCAGGCTGGAGTGCAATGGCGCAATCTCGGCTCACTGTAACCTCTGCCTCCTGGATTCAAGAGATTCTCCTGCCTCAGCCTCCCACATAGTTGGGATGACAGGCACCCGCAACCACGCCTGGCTAATTTTTGCATTTTTAGTAGAGAAGGGGTTTCACCAAGTTGGCCAGGCTGGTCTTGAATCTCTGACCTCAGGTGATCTGCCTACCTCGGCCTCCCAAAGTGCTGAGATTACAGAGGTGAGCCACTGTGTCTGGCCTGGCTGCACTTTCTAATCACATTCAAAATACACTCTGCCTGAAGCCCGTCTCTAGCGGTTCTGTTTAACTGGTTTGAGATGTGGCCAGGATTTGAGGATTTTTTTTTCTTTTTTTGAGACGGAGTCTTGCTGACGTCAAGTGATCTGCTGACCTTAGCCTCCGGAAGTGCTGGGATTACAGGTGTGAGCCACCACACCTGGCCTAATTTTTGCATTTTTATTAGAGACGGGATTTCACTGTGTTGGCCAGGCTGGTCTTGAACTTCTGAACTCAGGTGATCTGCTGGCCTTGGCCTCCCAAAGTGCTGGGGTTACAGGCATGAACTACCCCACCTGCCCTCCAATTTGGTCTTGAGGTCTCTCTCACAAGGGTGGCTATGAACTCTAGCCCTGCCCTGATGGGGCTTTGGGAGGCTGGCGGAGGATGCCCTTCATGGGATGCGTTTTCATCCGGCCCTCAGGCTTAATGCCTAAGTGTCTGACCTGTGACCAGATGTCTCTCTCACAAGAAACCCAATAACAGTGACAGAAGCCCTTGTGGCCATTGTCTGGTGTGTGTCTAGTTTATTCCTACAAAGAGAGCCAGTCTCTGGGAGAGCCCTAGCTGGAAAAGGTGAGATTCAAGTGTGCCTGTCAGGTGAGTGACAGAGGAGGCCACAGAAAAAAGCATATGAAATGGCAGATTTGTTACTTACAGATCCCAGAGAAAAGAGGGCAGCATGCCTCGCAGGGGTGGTAGGAGGGAGGAACCACCTGAAACATGCTGGCTCCACTGGCAGGTAGGGCAGCAAGACAGAGTGAGAACTGATGGACCAAGGCCTCTGTTTGAGTCCAGAGAATGACCCAAGCAGCTTTTCCACGGGAGTTCTGATCAGTGGGTTTACGGCAAGAAAGCACAAGTGCTGTGGGCACTGTGGCTAGAAGTGGTTGCTGGGTCACTTCAGCATATGCTCATGGCCCATGCAGTGTGTGGGCCAGGTAGTGACTAATGGCCAGGCAGGCTCTATAGCAGGATACTCAGGACAAAGGGGTGATTTACATCCAGAGCGGGACATAGCAGGGTGGCGAGAGATTTTATCATGCTACTTTAAGCAGTGTGCAACTGAAAATTTATGAATTGCTTATTTCTGGAATTTTCCAGTTAATATTTTCATATCATTGTTGACCTTGGGTGACTGAAACCACGGAAAGCAAAACCGAGATAAGGGGGAGGCGGTTGTGGGGAGCTACTGTACAAGGTTCTGGATTAAAGTGTTTCCCCTTCTGTCAGTGCAGCAAAGCACAGGCTTTAATAAGTAGTTTTTGTTGTCCATGGTGGGGATATGAAAACAGAGTTCTGAGTTCTCTGATATTTTGGTTCTCTTTTGTCTTGCAAGACCCTACTGTAGTACACTATAGGAGAATTTTATGTCTATAAGATTAATGATGGCCATTAGGCCATTATGATATCTTCTAGAAATCTTACAGTTGTGCATTTGCTATTTAGGTCTAAGATACACTTTGAGTTATTTTTTTGTGAAATATATGAGGTTTATGTCTAGATTGATTTTGTTTTGTTTTGTTTACATGTGGATATGCAGTCAATTCGGCACCACTTGTTGAAAAGACTATCATATCACCACTGAATTGCCTTTGCTCCTTTGTTAAAGATCAGTTGACTTTGCATGGGTCTATTTCTGGGCTCTCTAATCTGTTCATTCATCAATTTTTCTTTTCTTTCACCAACACCACACTGTACTGATTACTGCAGCTTTATATTAAACATTGAAGTTGGGTAGTATCATCCTCTGACTTTGTCCTTCTTCTCCCATATTGTGTTGGTTTTTTTTTTTTTTTTTTTTGAGACAGAGTTTTGCCCTGTCTCCCAGGCTGGAGTACAATGGTGCAATCTCAGCTCACTGCAACCTCCACCTCCTGGAGTTCAAGCAATTCTCCTGCCTCAGCCTCCCGAGTAACTGGCGTTACAAGTGCACACCACCACACCCAGCTAACCTTAGTATTTTTAGTGGAGACGGGATATCACCATGTTGGCCGGGCTGGTCTCGAACTCCTGACCTCAGGTGATCTGCCCCCCTCGGCCTCCCAAAGTGCTGGGACTACAGGTGTGAGCCACCACGCCTGGCTTCAATAGACTAATCTAATTGGAACAGATACGCATTGTGAATGTCAACTTAACTGGCCCATGATGCCCAGACATGTGGTTGAACATTATTCTGAATGTTTCTGTGAGGGTGTTTTTGGATGAGATCAGCATTTAAATCAGTGGATTTAAACAGATTGCCTTTTCTAATGTGAATGGGTTTCATCCAATGAAGTCCTAGATGGAAAGACTCACCTCCCCCAGCAGAGGGAAACGCTGATGCAGATAGCCCTTGAACTTGAACTGCAGTGTATTTAACCCCTGGATCTCTAGCATGATGGCTTTCGGACTTGAACTCAATATCAGCTCTTCCGTTCCCTGGTCTCCAGTCTGCTGGCCCACCCTACAAGTTTGGACTTGCCCCCACAACCATGTGAACCAATTCTTGAAAATAAATCTTTCTCTATACACATACCCACATCCTATTGATTTTCTCTGGAGAACCCCAATTATCTGGAGAACCCTAATATGTGCAGGTGCTCCTTGACCTAAAATGGGGTTATAATTCAATATACTCACTGTAATGCATTTAGACATCTAATCTAATGAATATCATAGCTTAGCCTAGCCTGCCTTAAATGTGCTCAGAACACTTAACACTGGCTTATTACTGGGCAAAATCATCTAACACAAAGTCTATTTTATCATAATGTGTTGAATGTCTTATGTAATTTATTGAGTACTGTATTGAAAGTGAGAAACAGAATGGTCACATGGGTACCTGAAGTACAGTTTCTACTGAATGCATACTGTTTTTCTACCACTGAGAAGTCAAAAAATCATTAAGTGAAACCATTGTTAAGTCAGGGACCATCTGTATATATACATATAATTAACCATAAAATTATATATATAATTATATGTAAGGGAATTAAGAACTCCTAAAGTTTCTTTTTTCTCCTTATTTATTCCCCCCACTTTTATTTTCTGGAGACAGGGTCTTGCTGTGTTGCCCAGGCTGGGGTGCAGCAGTGTGATCACAAATCAACTACAGCCTCAATGTCCTTACTGGGCTCAGATGATCCTACCACCTCAGCCTCCCGAGTAGCTGGGACTACAGGTGTGCACCATCATGCCCAGCTAATTTTCTATATTTTTTTGTAGAGACAGGGTTTTGCCAAGTTGCCCAGGCTGGTCTCGAATTCCTGGGCTCAAACGATCCACCTGCCTCAGCTTCCCAAAGTACTTTTTATTCCCTTTTGATAACATCCTTTTACCTATACAGAGTAAGAAATTAGAAAAAAAATAAATCATAGCTGTTTTATTTAAAATTTCAAAATTATCTGAGACAAAATTTAAATCATGTATATAAACACAAAGATGAACGAACATTGGTTCTTTAAACACTGACAAAGTCCTGAAACCATATAATGTATATTTTTAAGCCATGTTTTCTATTTTTACAACATAGTTTAAAACTAAGTTTATTTTTAAAAGTACATAGGAAAATATAATGATTTGAGTGTTCTCAAATATATGACTCTGAAGGTAGATTGTTTTTATCACTTAATCCATATACAGTGCAGAAAATAGATACATTAATTACAACATTTTCCTTCAGTTAATAGTTTACTCACTGTCATAGACACTCCAGGATGGATAATCACTCAAAGAACTCTCCAGGTTAGAGTCAAGCAAATTCTGAACACTTGGTCAAAGGAACATGAAAATGCCAGGTCCTGGCACAATAAATAGATCTAAATAACCCAGAAGGTGGTATACATCAGATAAAGACAATCTTAACTAAGCACCACAGTAACTTTGGAGGCAAGTGGTACTGTACTCTTATAAAAGAAAAGTCTTTACTGTTGAGGGCACTGGGTTTCTGGAGTTGATTTAGAAGACACATATAGAATAGAGTGTGATTTCTTACAAGTTTCTTTTTCCAATTTGCTTGCAGTTCCTTTTCCTTCTTTGACTTCTTTTTGAAGCTTTGATTCAGCAGCTAACCTACAGGCATTAAAGTATCCACTCTGAATTCAAATATGGTTATGAAGGATTGAAGAAACAAACCCCTAGTATAACGGGCCTCCAATGAAGCATGATATTCAAGGAAAAAAAATATAGTTCAATACCGTTAAGAATATTAAGTTACTGACTCACTGAAAGAGTCTTTTTATATCAATAGGCTCAATTACTTTTTAAGTCTAAAGAATATCTTTACAAAGTCACAGCAAGGCCTAAATTAAGAATTAAAATATGACAGAGCACCTATCATGATACGCCCATTTAACACAAAAACTGAAATGTTACAGCAATATTTTAATGGTAAATGACATACAAAAGGCTAAGTGCAAGACAAAAATAACATGGAATCTTGTGCTGTACAAATAGATGTCTATTTGTTTCATATTAAAAGACTGAGTTTCAACTAGCAAAACAAAGAAAAGATGAACAGTGGAGAGGTATTTTTTTAACCTCTTGATTCTTGATAACAAGATTCTTGATAACAAGAACGCCAATTAGTTTTGTAAAGCATGCAATAGTAAAGTTCCCAATAAAAGCCATATTTATTGTTCCAAAATTATCTTAGGATTGTGCATCTATGTAAAACATGTAGAAAACAGAGAGTTGGAAACAAGTTAGCAGATGGACAGACACACACACACACACACACACACACACACACACACACACAAACGTTTTGTGGTATTTTATTTTTTTTGTTTAACTAACAAGACAAAAAGTTTCCAACGTGCTAATTAATTACAGTCAATTAGCCACATACATTTGCTTAAGTAATTTTTATCAAGCGTAAAAGGCAGAAAAAGAAATGAAGGCAATACAGATAGCAAGTTGGTACTTATCAATTCTAGAAATCCACCTCCAGAAATATACACTGGTCCAGCACATTTATACAATGCATCACATATAAACAGGCATAATCTGCTGCATTTGCTTCAGAACTCTTTGAAACCATGTGTATGCGGCAGATATTCATTTGAAGTTACTTTTTCCTTAAGAATAGCAAGCTTTTATTTTATGTGACTCACAGGTTATAACATTATATAAAAATCCAAGGAGGGAGTAATAAATTACTCTTCTTTATAATAATAATAGCAGCTAACATTGTTGAAGTGCTTTTACTGTTGAATATTACATTTAGTAGCACTGAAGACTTGGAGAGAAATCAGATAAAACATATAAGGAAGCCCTTTTATATGATGTAGGCTGTGTCATGCTCTTTCTACTCAAACGTACATTAGTAAAATGTCTTATTAATCTGTCTCTATTCTCTAAGACTAATGTAGCCCTAGTGGCACCTTCAAGATCTCATTTCATAGGAAATAATCCAAGCTAGCTATTGTTACATCAATGTGCTTAACTTTTTGAATGCCTACTGATATTTGTTTTAAATGCCTCTACCATCCCACTGCATGCAGACATCCTTCATCTTTCTTTTACTTTCTCCAATTTCCACATTCACTTCTCCTGCTGTACAAATCCAGAACTCTAGCCTAGCCACTGCTACTTACCTTTCCCTTTCGTTCACTTTCTCTTACCTTCTGACTTCGATTATTTTTTTAAAGGACAAAGCCCTTGGGACATTAATTCCTTCAGACATACATGTCTGACACTATTTCTTTTAGTCACAGACTCAATTATGCAGAAACTAGAGGCTTTCAAGTTTTGGAAACAATGAAAATGAATTAGCTTTGATATGTAAAAATGTCAAAATAAGTATCAAAGCCCATTTCTGAATGCCTAGGATTAGCAATTTCAAAAGACATAAAAAATTCACCTACGTTATCTAGAACGCTGAAATTTCTTAGACTACTGGAAAGCCCTTTGAGAAAGTGAGTTAATTTTTCTTTCATGGTCATGCTTGGACCAAGAGAAAAATAACAGTACATTTATTCAAACTGATAAAACATTCAGAGATGTGTTAGACTGTGATATTTCCTTTCATGAAATAGAAATGTGTGACTTTTTAATGTGATTCCCTTATTCAGGAGTACTTTCCCTTTGCAATCATTTTAGTCTTTCTCGAAGTTCTGGAAAGGTTGAAAGTAGGCAGATGAAACTGAGGAATTATACTGCATGCAATACTAAGAAAGTAGATAAAGAAACAGACAGCACAGTTCATGCAGCGAGACAGGAGAGATGAAGAGGTCTGCTGGTTGCCTTGAGGAAAAGAGGACACTGACCTGGGAGAGTTAGGGGTGTTTCCACTTCTTTCACTTAAGGCCTCAGAGTCAGCTGGAACTCCTATGAGTCTCACACACTTCTTTTCCTTCTTTAGCTGCATAGCCATGGGCAGATTTTTGTGAGGAGAGAGAGTGCCTGCTGGTGTGTTTATAGAAACTAATTTTTCCGGTTGTAAGTTGTTATCTTCTGAACTGTTAGGACAGGACTGTGTCTCCTCTTTCTGAGGCAGTAATTGATAAACTTCTCCCTCGGCAGCACTGTTGCTGGCACATGCATCCTTAGAAATGGTTATATCCACAGGCAGCACCTCACGCCTCTTTTTCAGTACAGGCACTTCAACTGTCTCTGAGAATAAAAACGAGTGGGGAAAAAAATGTAAGAAAACAAAGACACAATCAGCACAAGAAGCCAGAACTAGTTATAACTTTTTCCATTCTTTAAAAATGCACCCATCTCCTCACTGAAATGTATTGTTTCTACCTTTTATTCATTGGCATGGAATCTACATAAATTATATATTTTAAAGTTTTTTTGGCTATACATTTTTCCTTGGGAATTCAGTATTTTGACTCTAGGCATGAATGCTTGTGTTCTCTTTTGGAGTTTTGATAAAGGTGGTTCATCAGATCTCAGCGTGGAGATGAGGAGGCAGTAGCAGAGTCCAGGTTTGAATCCTAATCCTCATATTTGGCAGCCATGTCTTTGGGGAATTATTTAACCTCTTTGAGCTTCATTTTATCTGTAAAATGGGGATTAAAAGCACCCACTTCACTCAGTATTGTGTGTTAGAAGAATTAAGTAAGAATAGGTCAAACTTTCTGAACATTGGTAATATATGCCTATTAGCTCTACCAACAAAATACATGCAGAATCAGACTACTTTTATGATGGCTACTTCCCTAGTCCAACCCTAAAATGTCTCATTGAAGACTACTGCAATGCCTTCTATCCTCATGGCCTAACATCATTCTCTCTAAGCAGGTCATACACAAGCCACTGAATTAATTGCTCTAGCATCTTTTCCCTATCCCCATTATCAAAGTATTTAATTTTCCAAATCAAAATGTTAGTGGAGTCTGAGGAACCCTGGTAGCACAAGGGGTTGTTTTGGCTCTGCATTGTTGCTTTTAGACCATGATTTCCCTTTTTCTTGCACTGCTCCTTTGAAACCCATGTTATCAGGATTCACTACCTCGCCTCCTGTCTATATGCTGTGTTCAGTTCAACAGATGTTTGAAATTCAGAATGGATAATTCTTAATCAGAGGAGCCTATCAGAATCATGGAAGAAAAAAACAGTAAGAGAAAGAGAAGCCTTTAAAAATTGTGTAGAAACCTATTTCTGGCAACCTCCCCACTATTGTTGAGAATCACAGCAGTTCACTGAGAAAATACGAAGACAGACTGAGGCATGTGCTGAGTGCAGGGACAAAAGCTTGTTAAGAATCCTTAATCTAAAACATGTAACACTCTTTCAGGGGAGGGGGCATTGTAGAACCATCACATTCTTAAGACTCCTTCACATTTTGCCTTTTGCTTTTTAATTTGTATTACAGTAAAATTCACTCTCTGTAGTATATATGATGCAGAAACTATGGTTAGGCTACTTTCTAGCTCAGTGATTACACTTGCTAGATATTCCCTAGTATGTTTCACTGTTCTTTCCTTCCCCCTCTGCCCCTTTTTCTGGAGAATGGGTCTTGCTACATTGCCCAAGCAAATCTCAAATTCCTGGGCACAAGCTATCCTCCCCCCTCTGCTTCCCCAAGAGCTAAGATTACAGGCAGGACCATGGCACACCTGGCTCACTGTTCTTCCTTAATACAAGAATTTCCAATATTTAGTTAGGAAGGAACATGGACCCTGAGAATCAAGACTGAGTTTCCCAGCCTCTCCCGTCGGCAGGTGATGCTGCACGATTAAATTGTGCTCAACAGGATGGCTGCAGACCAAAACACACAAGAAGCCTGAATCTTGATACGGTGGAGTACTTACCAGTCCTGGATCAAGGGCAGAAATAAAGATCCACCTTTTAAAGTCTCCATTATTTTAGATTTTCTATAAACAGTCCTACCTCATATAGGCTCCAAACATCAGCTGCTTCAACATAATTAAACTATTTGGCATGACAAAATATACTGTAATCTTAAAATGGGAAAGTCTCAAATACCAAGTTTCTACTATACGATATGAATTTAGATATCCAAAAAGGATATATGTTATATTCATGAACACCCAGTATCCAGTTCTTTCTTAATTTTTCTACACATCTTACAGAATAAATTTGCCTTATTAACTACAGTTATATAAATACAAATGAGTTTGTGATAAGATTTACATAAAACTAGAGTAAGAAAATAATTTGATATAATTTCTCAGGATTACTCATGATTTAAAAGACAAAATATGTAAGACATATATACCTTCAGGTTCATATTTTAGTTTTAATTCCTCTAGTTGAGCTCTCAGTTTCATATTTTCACTTTCTGAAAGCTGTAGGCATCTTTCATTTGCAAAAAGTTTTCGCTCAAGATCCAGAGCCCGTTGGCTCTCAAATAATGCTTTCATTCGCTGTATGGACAATTCACCTTTAGTGCTTTCATTTTCTTTGCTATGAGAATAAAAAAGGAGAACCAAGGAGTATTAAAACAGCATATAATATAAATAAGTGTAGTGGTAAAAATATTTCATTGCATATTTGAACTTAGTTAAAAATACATTTTTCTGTGGTTTTTAGTAACAAAGAAACAGTAAACAATTTAAATAATCTTTAACAAGACTAATGTCAAACTTAAAAAATATCCATGCATTCTTGGAAGGAAATGGACAAAGGAGGAAATAGTCTTTCAAATGTATTCATGCATGAATATCTGCACAAAGATATTTTTGTTGCCTTTCTTTTCAGATAATTTCCTTTGGCAACTTCAAAAAAACTTTGAAGTCACTGACACTACTATTATAAGCAAGTGACATGTCCATCTTTCCATCCACCAACACAGACACTTACTTTAAGTTATCCAGCTTCATCTGAAGTAAATCTGTATAATAGGTGTTATCTTCCAGAGCACCAGAGTGGACTGAAGGCTTAGATTCCATACTTTCATATAAATTCTTTAAAAAGCAAAAATTCGTGTTACTTAAAATAAGTAACTAAGGTTAGTGTATGTTTATTAACAACAGCACCATCACTTACGAGAATTTACTTACCCCTTGGCATGTACTATGCTAAGAACTACCCATTTAACTCATTCGTCTCTGAAGTAGGTAAAAGAACTAACATTCCTTCTCTTACAGATAAGGAAACAGACTCCAAATGCAGAGGAAAGTAATCCAAGAAGAGAAAATCTGAACCCAGATCTGACTCCAAAGCCTAGGCTTCTAACCATACCAACATCTTTTGGCTTTCCTCTCCTGGCTTTTAAAATAGAATAAATCAATGCTTGCTGGATTGAATTCTGGCCTTTGTAACAAAACCATAAACTGGAAAAACATTTAAAAAAGGATGAGAGCATTACATTTATATTTGGTATCCCCCTCTTCTGATAGTCTTCTCCCCACCCCAGGCAAGAATGTAGAGCAAGCTCTTCTAAGACTTTGATGGAAAGTATACATTTCTCCAGGGGGATAAAAAATGTAAATCTGCTTAAAAACTTGAAACAATTTCAGAGGTTATAGATAACTTTCCCCTGACTTAAAGCCATAATTTTCAAAGTATAGTTCGGACCCCACTGGTGGAAAACATAAGGCTGCCAATTAAACCAAATTTGCAGTCCTTTCAACAGTTTTTATAAGACACAGAAATAAAGTTATGTAAACTTAAGATTTTATGACATACTAAGGGCTACAATTTAGATTGCCTAAGAGGTTAACATGTACAAAAATTTGTTATTTACAAACCTTAGTTCATTAGGAGGTTGGTTAATGAAAAGATATCAATGTTCCCTAAGTTAACTTATAAAATCTTAAATTAATGCAATTTTAATAGAAAGCCAACAAACTTTTTTTGGTGCTAGACAAGATGTTTGTAAACAAAAACATTCAAAAATAGACAGGAAAACACTGAAAAAGAATGTATAGTGAGGAAATAGTCACCAGATAAACATACTTTAAAGCTTTAATAATTAATAAAGCAGTGTGGTACTGACATACACAGAAGCAGACCAATGTAGTAGACAGAAAATCTAGAAACAGACTCAAGTATATATGGACACTTGATGCATGATAAAGGTGTCAAATCACTAGGCTCAAGATTGATTTCTTTTTTTTTTAATCAAATGACTCTGGGACAACTGCCTACGTATTAGGTAGAAGATAAAATTAGATTTATACCTCAAATTATATACAAAAATAAACTTCAATGGGGATCAGATACCTAAACGTAAAAAACGAAACCACACAAGTATTAGTAGAAAACACAGGTGAATTCACACACACACACACACACACACACACACACACACACTCTTACACAAATACCATTCTCTACTAAAAGAAACCAATGCTCCTTGAACAAGTGATAATCCTAGGGCTGAGGCAGGTGAGCTAGGAATACCTTATTGTGCCATACAGTAAGAAACTACTCAAGTAGGAGCCCTTCGACTACCAAATCTGAGACAATTTGAGTATTACAGCAAATAAAGCAATCAATGAATTATAACTCATAGGATAAAATAAGAATCCATGAGGCTATACTGATATAAATAAATGAATGAATAAGTGAGGGAAAAGATTTTTCTTTTCTGTCCCTTCATTAGAATTCCAACTAATAAATGTAGAAGTGATGGAATTACCCTTTAGCAATCATCACGGAATTATGTTTCAGGCAAGAATCACGAATGGATGTTTAAGCACAAGGAGAAACAGGCATTTACTTAGTCTCAAAGTATCTCCCCACAAGGTATTTATTAGTATTTTCAACTTAAAATACAAACCAAATTTTAAGATATTCAAACCAAAATTTGGTTGTGTTTTTTTTAAAATGTTATACATACCTTAAATTTCTCCAGATTTCTAATTTCACCTAAAAGATGTTTTATTTCACCATTCTTCTGCTCCAACATGGCAAGCAATCGTTCCTGCTGCTCAAATTCAGTTTGAGACCCTTTCATTTGTAGCAATGTGGCGATTTGTAGCTAGAAAAATAAAATTACCCCCTCTAATAAAATTGAGATAAAGATTCTGGTAACTACTTTTTTGATACAATTCATATTTTGTACTGTATTACTTTGAACTCATTCTGGAAACTAATTAGCTATCTCTAATCTAATGATCACTTTTGTTGTAGACATAACATTTGAATACTTATTTTGATGACTTATGGATGATAACTAAAGTCTGTAATAAAATTATTTGTAGTTTTGTGAAACATAAAACTGACCTGCATGGCTGTGGTCCAAAAGCACACCACTGAACTGGTAAGTAAGCCTGGCCAAATGCTGCACATTGTTTATCATAAGCACTAGCTCTCATTAAGGGTCTGATGGGTTTCTCAAAAATTTTAATTAATTCTAATTAAGTGAGGAAAACTAAGCTACTCACAGCCACAAATGTTAGATTCACAAATGACATGAAAAGCAAAGATAAAAGGCTATCTCGGAATACTAGGGCAATCTTCAACATATCATTTTTTTTTTTTTTTAGATGAAGTGTCACTCTTGTCCCCCAAGCTGGAGTGCAATGGCGCGATCTCGGCTCACTTCAACCTCTGCCTCCCGGGTTCAAGCGATTCTCCTGCCTTAGCCACCTGAGTAACTGGGATTATAGGCACTCGCCACCACGCCCGGCTAATTTCTGTATTTTTAGTAAAGACGAGGTTCCACCATGTTGGCCAGGCTGGTCTCGAACTCCTGACCTCTGATCATTTGCCCGCCTTGCCCTCTCAAAGTGCTGGGATTACAGGCGTGAGCCACCGCGCCCGGACCATGTTTTAGTTTTTTTAGGATCGCACTCAACTTACCTAATTATAGCTCCCCACTCCCTAAATCTGGAGTTGCAAAGCTATCAGAGGGAGACTATTTCCTTCTGCCTTTGGAAATTTCTGGAGTTGAAAAAAGGGCCAATTAGTTTAACTATAGTTTTGAGTAATGCAAGCAATGATACAAGGTTGAAAATGACTTTTAGCATGTTTAAAGATATCCTTTTTGTTCCTGTTTCAGATTGGAGGCTAGGCCCCCTTAGTCTAAGATTCAGAATGCTTCTGGTCTCTAAACATACTTTGGTATATCATGGAACAGTGGAGATTAAAAGTACCCCCAACAAACACTGTAAGAAAACTAAGGGTAAATGTGAGAAAATTTATAAAGAAATACTTCTCAGAAAGGAAAGTCTCAGGAAATGAGGCAGCACAGTCTGGAAATCCTTAGAAATAAAATTCACAGCTGTTGTTCATTAAACACTCATTTGCCAACTAGAAGGTAAGTATTTCACTATGCTTTAACTGTAGGACAATTCTAAGAGGAGGGTTCTATCATCTCCACTTTATAGATGAGGAACTGATGCTTTGAAAATTAAAATACTTGTCCAAGGACACAGAGCTAGCAAGTGACAAAACTACAAATCCACCTAACTCCCAAGTTTCATCATTGACCTTTCCCATTTCTTTGGTAAAGCCCATTATCCTGAATAAAAGGAAAGAAGCCTTTCCAGGTTCCAATTACTACCTCAGTAGAGTAAGGTACAGTGGATGAGGGATCAGAATTCTAAGGATTGTTACAATATTGGAATCTTTCTAATTTCCACATGTTTTTCTGTTACTTCTTATTTGGCTAGAATGACGACCAACAAAATCTGTAAAATTAAAAGGGTGTATGTGCTTGACTTGAGAGACTACAAGGAAAGGGAACCCTGAATAATCCAAATTTCATTCCATAATAAGCCTTGGTGAAAGAGCAGAGGAACGGTGAATAGGAACCCTACGGCTATGCTTGGAAGGACATCATGCCAAGAATAGGAAATAAATACTTTTCTATTTCTATTCCACAAAAAAAGACTTGTGCTTCCCTGTCAAGGCTAGTGAATAACCATTAAAACAAACAAAAAAACAATGATTGCTAAATACACTATTACTAAATATATATTCCAAGATTATTTTTTAAGTATAAATAAATCTTTTGATCAATTTAAAACTGATTTTTTGAAATCATGCAGTTCTAGAAATAACTATGTAAGTACACTTCTTGCAGGAAAAGATAGTTTTTTTGATGTATTTGTACACATAATGCCGAAAGAAAATTTGTTTAATAAACCTTTGATAGTGATAGTTCTATACCTTCATTCTCTGCATCTGTTCTCTGTTAAATACATTTTGTTTCTTTAGTGACTGATACTTGACTTTCATGCTGATAAGCTGACGTTCCATTGCTGCCCTTCGATCTTCTACCTACAAAATATTAACATGCTTAATTGTTCTTGTAGTAAATGAAAATGCCAGTTTAGCAGTTAGAATACTTATAAGTACCTCTGCAAACAAAGAGTTGCCTTTACTATTAGGATCCAAGGCTTGCTGAAGTGCCTGGTCCAACTGCACCTGAAGATCTTGATTTGCTACACGAGCTTTCTGAATTCAAAAGAAAACAATTTAGATAATAGAGATTAGATTAGCAAGAAAATAAAGTTATGATAAATTGGAAAAGATGATGTTACTGTAATCATAGTACCTCTAGAGCATTATAGTAAGAAACTGCTTCTTTCTCTCGCTCCTCTTTTTCCTCTTTAAGCCGGTCTACCTGGCGCATTAGGTTAGTAATAAGAAGTTCTAGCTGTTCTTGTCTGTATTGTAGTTCATTCACTTCTTCTTTGAGGGTGGTCTATTTAATAGGAAGTGAAAACGAGGAAATTCTCTTGAATTCTTTTTCATTGACAACTGCTCAGTTTATCTCAATTATACTCTCTATATTACTCTTTTTTATTTAGGTAATGAAAGCTATTGCAAAAATAAAAATAACACACAGAGGGGGAAAAACGCACATCATTATCAGTCTTTAAGGCCTCAAATCAGGTTAGTTTCAGACAAGCTGGATGATATTACCTGTCAGAGTGGTATGCAAGATGATTATGTTTTACACAAAGGCATATTTAGATAGCTATGTTTGTTTCAGTGTATACTAGGAAAAAACAAGCAAGCTTAAATATGTAATCTCATTGATGTTTCCTAAAATGAGAAAACATTTAAAGAGAGTCAATAAAAAATTAAGTTGTGGTTCACATCCAAAATTAAAACTAAAGACCCAGTCAAAAGTTCAGGTACATACTAAAATAATAGAAATTACATTACTGTTAAATTATGGGGAAACAAGTAAAAGGCTTTAGAGACTGCCCCTTTTCCTCTATAAATTTAAGGCTTTAATTTTTAATTAGCTTTAGCTTTCAGTGAAAAAACTAAGTTCACATGCATTTCAACTTCCACTGAACCAACATTTTACACTGGGCTCTTATGATAAAAATCGGGATCAGAGTATACGCCTCTAAATTCTTCCAGAGGTTTCATTCATCTAAAAGTAAAGTTTGCCTTACATAATCATATAATCTAAAGCTATGTTATGAATGAAGTCATCCACCTAAAAAAAAGCATTTTTTAATTAGTTAGATGCAAGTTAGGTCAAAAAATATTTCAGCCTTCAAACAAAGTCTTAAGAATTATTACCAAAACATGTAAAAATATGCCAGAAAAAAAGAGAAAACCTGAGAAACACATGCCATAAAAATTACCTTCATACTCTCCATTTCTGTGAGCTCAATTTGAAGAGCCAGCATCTCTGAAGACATGCTTTCCTGCACACGTCCAGACATTACGCGCAGTTCCTCTGATTTACAAGAGAGGAGTTCCTTCTGATGATCTATTTGGTGCTTCAGCTGCTTTTCACTAAGCCTAGCTTCATCTAATTCCACTTTCAGTTTTTCTATCTGAAGAAAAAAAAAATCAGTCATAAATTGAAAGTTTTTTTTTTCTAAAAAACATCATTTATTGAACTGATTGACCGAAACTTACTGAATGATGACACTATTGGATTTTCCTACTTGTCCAAGGTTAGGCATCTTGTAACAGAGAGTGACAGACCTTTTTTAATAAGCACAGAAATAATCCATGAGTAATCAAGGTGGGTCTGGATGTCTTAGAAGCAATCTGGAGGCACTGTGTTGTTGACCACTTGGCTACTGTGTAAAGAATGAGTGGTATGAAGAGAAACAATAGAAGCAGCCTTGAATAATCTTTCATTTGACAGCTGCTCAGTTAATCTCAGTATCACATCTAAATATGAGTATTTAGATAGCTATGTTTGGTTCAGTGTATACTAGGAAAAAATAAGCTTAAATATGTAATTTCATTGATGTTTCTTAAAATCGGAAAACATTTGAAGAGTCAATGATAAATTAAGTAATAGCATAGGTGGTACACAGAAATAGAAAAATCTTAGAAGCTTCCACACAGCCTGGTCAGAAGGCTACAGCAGTAGTCCAGGGAAGAGATGATGAAGGTCTGGACTGGAGTGGCAGTAGCGTAGACAGATGTTTTGTAGGTCAAGTTCTTAGAACTTGATGAATTAAATGTGAGAAATAAGAGAAGAAAAGGCACTAAAAAAAAACCTCTAAATTTTGGAATAAGTGATTTGAGAAAAATCAGTAAAACAAAATATTTCACTAATTTACTCTTTGTTCCACCAAAAAAAAAAAAGCCATCTCTATAAGTAGCCTTGCCTCAGTCTCTGAATACTCCCTATATTATCCTTTTTTAAATTTAGGTAATGAAAGCTATTGCAAAAATAAAAATAACATACAGAGGGGGAAAAAAGCACATCATTATCAGTCTTTAAGGCCTCAAATCAGATTAGTTTCAGACAAGCTGGATGATATTACCTGTCAGAGTGGTACGCAAGATGATTACGTTTTATACAAAGGCATATTTAGATAGCTTTGTTTGTTTCAGTGTATACTAGGAAAAAACAAGCAAGCTTAAATATGTCATTTCATTGATGTTTCTAAAATCAGAAAACATTTAAAGAGAGTCAGTGAGAAATTAAGTATAGTATAGGTGGTACCCAGAAATATGAAAATCTTAGAAACGTCTACACAAGAAGCTGAAAATTGGAATACAGACTTCTGAGAAAGGAGGACAAGTCAGGTAAGTTTTGGTAGAGAGGTGTCTGGAAAAGTCAGAGTACAGACTGTACACAAAGCAGATCCATGATAAAAAGTTCTGGATTCCTTAGAAGCAACCTGAAAGCATTGGGTAGCTGGGAATACCAAAAGGGAAAACCACTGACCAATCATTTATCTTGCATTTATGTTTAATATGGAGGGAGTCAGTGTAACATGTTGTTAGACTATGTAGAGTGATTCAGTAACACAGCCTTTGGAGTCAGACAGCCTCAGTTCAAATCTAGATGGAGAATTTCTAGCTCTTGAATTGTGTTAAATTTACTCAATCTGTCTAAACATTAGCTCTCTCATCTGGTATATGGAGATAATAATGGTACCGACCCACAGAATTATTTTAAGAACTGAATCACGTACATTAGTTTATCTTCAGTAAACAAACGATAAAGTGTCATTTGTAATGCATATTAATTGGTAAAAACTACTGGTCTGTTTTTACAGAATTACAAAGCATATCACTGGTTGCAGAGAAGGCTAGGAGACCAGGCTTTCTGCAAGGGTACTGCTGTACTAACAGCAAGGAGGCCAAGTTAGGCACTAAACTAAATCTTCACAAGTATCCAGTGACCAAAAATTAATAATTATATTTAATTAGTAGAATGTAATTTACACAAGTCCCATTGACAAACTCTTGTATCTCAGTGTTCCCACCCTCAGTACTAAGATAATGAAGAGTTAGATCTTGGCTATTTTGCAAAGCTGACACTAAAGAAAATTTTTATCCTCCAAAGTTTACAGATGGCTGCATAAACATGGAATATTTTCCTCTGAAATACACAGATATCCCAACCTTAGTTTTTAGTTCATTCACTTCCTGCCCATGGCTTCTGCTTAGTTGTTCTTCCAATTTCTCCAGGTGTATTTTTTGTTGTTGTTTAATAACTTCACATTCAGAGCTCAAACTTTCTAACATTCGACTCTTGAGTTCAACTTCTCTTTGAAGGGTATATTTTTCTTGTTCATAACTCTGAAAACAAATTCAATTACAATTCAATTACATAAACATAGCTTAAAGCCATTACATATAATCAGTTTTCAACTTCAACTGTTTCATTCTTATTTCAAACATTTGCTGCTTTCCAAATAATGAGGACATGTTAAACCTGGAATAACTTTGTAGTTAACCAGTCTTAATAGGCCCATTAGGTGTATTTTGAGACTATGTTAAACCCATGCAAGGGATACCTTACTGCTTCCGTGCGCTGTCAAGGAAGTAAAAAATGCTCCATAGTATGTGAACATATCAAGTAATCTCTACTAACAACAAAAAAGATTTAATAGCACTTAAGTTTTCCTAATGAGAATTATTAGTTTCGTAATGAGATGCTCTACTTGTAGCTCTGAACACAATGTAGTAGTAGTAAAATAGTTGAAAAAAAAGAAATATTGAATTAGCCTTTACTTTCAGAATCTAGTCATCTGAGAAATGTTCATGAAATGTCTACCAGAATGAATGTAGTGCTGAGATAGAAGGAGTAATTAAAAGGAATTTTGTTTACTCACAGGGAGGTTTAGACGTTAAAAAGGGTATGAGTATAAACTCCTTCAACAAGCTTTAAAAAATGATAAAATATTCCCCTCAAAAGCCATTTTATTTTAAAATAAGGCAAAGGGCATTAACAGTTGAATGAACACTGAAATTTGACAAGTTATTACTCAAAATGATTAGGTATGACACAGTTTTATTTCCTACTCTTAGTGATATTTATAATCTTTACTTTGCCTTTATGACTTGGTACTCAGTTCTTGGTTTAGAACAGTACTAAGTAGAAACACAAAGGTTGCCAACACTAGTTATTTTTACCTGTTATAATTTTTACCTGTTATAGATAATATGGCATATTTACAATGTTGAGATTCAAGTTTAAATATGTTACTGAGCATTTGCTAAATTACACAGATTTATTCATTCACTCTTTTAAGAAATATTTGTGTGGCAGGCACTGTGGATATAGCAGTGACCAAGGCATACAAAATTCCCTCTCTCGTGGAGTTTATAATCAAGATAATTAGCAATGTAGATAATTAAGAGTGAATTAGGGTTGGACACAGTGGCTCGTGCCTGTAATCCCAGCACTTTGGGAGGCAGAGGCAGGCAAATCACTTGAAGCCAGGAGTTCAAGACCAGCCTGGCCACCATGATAAAACCCTGTCTCTACTAAAAATACAAAAATTAGCCAGGTGTGGCGGCATACACCTGTAATCCCAGCTACTTGGGAGGCTGAGGCAGGAGAATCTCTTGAACCTGGGAATTGGAGTAGGCAGTGAGCTGAGATTGCACCACTGGACTTAAGCCTGGGTGACAGAGCAAGACCCTGTCTCAAAATAAGAGTGAATTGGGCAACTTTACATTACATAGGGTTGGCCTCTGCTGAAGTGACATATTTAACTGAAAAGCTTAAGTTTGAGGGCTCAATCCAAGAGCAGTGAGAGGTAAACAGATAAAAAAAGGCAATAGCTGGTATAAAGCCCATAAGGGAGGACTAATATAACCAAGAATAAGGCAAAGCAGTTTGAGAGGAGGTTAGAAGCTTGGCAGGGGTCAGGTCACATAGGGATCTACAAACCCAACTAAGGAGCTCAGATTTGGTTGTAAATACAATAAGAAGCTGTTGTATGGTTTTTAGCAGGGCTGTGAAATGGCCTTTGCGTATTTTTCCATGACCACTTAGACGCCAAGTGAAGAATGAATGGCATGAATGGCAACAATGGAAGCAGGTAACCAGGTCGGAAGGCTACAGTAGTTGTCCAGGAGACATGATGGCAGTCTGGAATAAAGTGGCAGTAGCAAAGATAGATCCTTTGTAGTCTAGTTCTTAGAACTTATTAATGAATTAAATGTGAGAAATAAAGGAAATATATTGACTAAAAGTTCTACATTTTTGGTATATAAAGAAACCAAGAATATACCAAAGATTTTTGGTATTCAAGAAACTGAATGCTGTTGCATTTACTAAACAAGCTAAAGAAAATTGTAAAAGAATATTTGGTTAATGGACAGGGAATCCACTCTTCTGTGTTAAGTTTGAGAAGTCTATTAGTGGACAGTTGAACACACAAACCTAGGTTTTAGAGGAGAACTAAGGGCTTGGTGTAGTGTCATGGGGCACCTAGATGTTTAGAGGTCTGAAACAAGTGAAGTCATCCAGGAAGTGTGCAGACAAAGCAAAATCAGGTGGTAAATGTGGCAAAGAGAGTAATGATAACATGATCTTTCAAATTCTGAACATACTAGGTTGGAAAGAATAATAGGAATTCATTTAGTTCATTCTTTTTTAACGGGTGGAGCAGGATGGGAACCAGATCTAAAATCTTCAGAAAAGAATAAACTACTACTACTATTAATTGCTAGACAGGACAAATCTTCAATAGCTAAGCATACTCTTGCAGACAGAGGAGTCCACAGTCCTACCTCGGTCATGGTCATCATTTCATTACGACATTTATCCAATTGATTCTGTAATTCATTTTGACTCTCTAGTAGTTGTAAACCGTACTTCGCAGCTTTTAGTCGCTCTTCTTCAACCTCTTTGAGCTTGCATCGAAGATTTGCAATTATATCTGACTCCATGTTCTTTTTTTTTTTTTTTTTAGCCAACTGTAAATAGAGGAAATAAAACTACTTAAACTTATACAAAAAATTCCATGCAATGATGTCAATAATAGAAGAAATATATCTACTCAATACTACTGCTGTAAAAAAACATTAAAATTTTCTTCCTGACTTTTAAGTAGTCAAATGTACGTTCTTGTTCCAAGAGCAAGAACTCTTCTGACAATTGTTACTGATTCGGGACCAAAAATGAAAGAGCAAAAGAGAATACATTTAATTTTGCTTTTAAGCAGTTCATCATCAGGAAACTGTTCAGTTGTTGTATACTAAGTTTCCTTAAATGTTAAGGTAACATTGGTCTTATAATTGGACCACTATCCATATAATCAAAATTAAGAGAACAACGACAACAAAAAAAAAAATCAAAAAACTTTGTAGTAGCAGGTATGGTGGTTCATACTTGTAATCCCAGCAACTGGGGAGGATCGCTTGAGGCCAGGAATTTGAGACCAGCCTGAGCAACATAACAAGACTCCATCTCAATCAATCAATCAATAGACATAAGTTGGGAATGGTGGTGAACCCCTGTAGTCCCAGCTACCTTGGGAGGCTAAGGAGGGAAAATTGTTTGAGTTAGAGGCTGCAGTGAGTTATGATGATGGCACTGACAGAGCAAGATACTGTCCTGAAAAATAATAATAATACTAATAATAATATTGCCAGAAAAGAAGGTCTGGGTACTACAAATAAATATAAAAAGGCAGGTGTGAACAAGACTCATAAGGTAAAGTAAGGAATATTACATCTGCAATTTTTCACAACCGTTAACTTCCTGAATGTATTAAATCTGCTTTCTTGAAAAGAGATTCACTAGTATTTTTCTAGTTATTCATAAGAGCATGCAAAATTTGAAAACATATTCACAAGAATTAAAGGACATTCCTTTCATCTAGATTTTTTAGCAAAGACTTAAACATTATATATAGAAACATTCCACTTTAATCAACCTTACTCATGATCTTTTACTATTTGGTCCCAGCCTCTTAAGCAAGACTTAAACTCACCTTTTTCTTCAAAGAGCACAAGGCCATTATAAGATGTTCCCCCACGTCTCAAGTCAATGTAGTCATTCACTGAACAAGCATTTTTTGAATGCCTTATATACTAGGTTCCATTCTGGGCAGTTCAGATTCATTAGGGAACAAAAGGGACCAAAAAAAAGCTCCTCCCTCATGAAACTTACATTCCAGGAGGGGAAGATAAACAATAAGTAATAAATATTAATAAATTAGAAAGGGGAGATGACAAAAAATAGAAAAGAAGAATCTGGAGAGAAGAGATAGGTAGTGTAACTAGGAGGCACAGAGGAAAGCATCAGATATGTAGCTATTTCGGAGAAGAATGTTCCAGCAAGAAGGGAATCCCTAAGGCAGAAAGAAGCCTAAGGAGTGAAACCTGAATTTGGGCAAGAGATAGCTGGTAGTGGGTAAATCAGGCCATTATAAGGACGTTGGCTCCTACTCTGGGTGACATGGGAAGTTATTCCAAAGTTTGGAGTAGAGGATCTGATATAATTTAAAAGGATCATTTTGGCTGCTATGCTGACTAGTTAGAAGGGGAACAAGGCTGGAAGCAGAGACCATGTGAGGTGGCTCAGACTAGAGTGGTAGCATAGGAGGCTGTGAGAAACGGCCAAATTGTGAAGGTTTTGCAGGTAAGGTCAATATGATTTTCTGAAAGGTATAATGTGGGAGGTGTGAAAAAGGGAAAAGTAAAAAATTTCTCCAAGCCTTCTGGCCTGAGTACCTAGTAAAATGGAACTGCCATCAGCTGAAGCACTGATATAAAGAATGTTTTGGAAAGAAAATCAGGAATTCAAGTTTTGAACATGAACTATGTCAAGTAGGCAATTGGATATACAAGAGGGATCCTCGCTGGAGATGTAAATTTGAGAGTTAATCAGGCAATAATGGACCCAGGACTGAACCCTGTTATGAGGTAGAGAAGAAGAAAGTGGAGGATCAGGAGTGACCAGTGAGGCAGAGGGAAAACCAGGAGTATGTGTTGTCCTAGAAGGCAATAAACAGTGCATTAAGGATGTGGAAGTAATCAATCATGCCAGATGCTGCTGCTAAGGCAATTAAGGTGAGAACAGAGAGCTGGTCATTGAACTTGAATTCCTGGAGGAGAATAATTTTGATATACAGGTAGGGGTGAAAGCCTAACTAGAATGCCAAGAGAGAATGGTAGGAGATTAATAAAGATAGCAAGTACAGGTATGCTGCAAGGGACAACGGATAAATGGAGCAGCAGCTGGAGAGGAAGTAGAGACAAGTTTTTTTTTTTGAAATGGAAAAAAATAACAGTTTATAGATCATGGAATAAATCTAGGAGAAAAGAAAAGCTGATGATCTGAAAAGAAGACACTGGAGAATTGCTAGTAATGTCCCTGAATAAACAGGATGAGGTTTAATGTAGAGACTCGTTTTAATAGAAGCATGATTTCATCTAAAGTAAAGGAAAGCAAAGTATACGAGCTCAGATGCTGATAAGCAAGCAGAAGTCTGTGTAAGTACCCTTTTAACTGCTTCAATTAATCAATGAATTAGGAAGCAAGGTCTTTAACGAATGATGACAAGGGAGGAGATACAGTGTTTTAAGAGAGAAAAAAAAAGGTGTTCTAGGTAATCCCAACTTGGTAGTCACTGGTCTAAAATGCAAGACCTGAAGCCTGTACATGATAAGGCCGGCCAACTAAATGTTGTACTGTTTACAATAACACATTTATTGAGGATTTACCATTTGCCATACTAAGTACTTCAAATATATTATCTCGTCTAATTCTCTTGATGAGCCAGAGTTAAGTAAATACTGTCATCTCAACTACCAAAGAAAAAATAGGGTTAACATGAAGACATTCCAGCCAGGCATATCCAGAGAAGCCCAAAAAATTAGCTCTTGTTTATTCAAGATTTGCTGGAATTCTTATTGTGTGTCAGACACTGTGCTGGTGCTGAGGACACAATGGTAACCCAAAACAATATTCCTGTCTTCTTGAATCCTACAGTCTATTAGTAAACGACGTTAAATCAAGTAATTGAGCTATAAAGTTACAAGTATGACGAGAGAGAGAGAGAGAGAGATGTATGTTACCTGAGCCTATAACAAGGGTGAGCTGTCCTAACCTGGGGGGCAGGGTGTAGAAGGGAACATGGACAAAAAAGATTTTCCTGAGATGGTAACTTTTCAGCAGAGATCTAATGGATGAAAAAGAGTTAACCTATCAAAGAGGGATAACCCTACAAAGAGGGATAGGGGTGGCTGATTAAAAGCTACAGCTAATGTGTGGCAGACATTGCGCTTGGTGCTTTATATACATTCTTATTCAATCTTCTCAAAAACCTTAAGAAATTGAAGGTATTTCCCTCATTTACACATGCAAACTAAGGCACAGAAGACTTAGGTAACTTGCTTAGGTTACTCCCAAGTTAAGAGGCTAAGGAACCAGAATCTACCTACAAGCCCTGGTGCTACAGCCACTTTTCTATCTTGCTTCTCCAAAAACAGCACACACAAAGCATTTGGGAGATACGAAACCCTGGGAATCAAACTGCCTGAGTTCTCACCCCGTCTCCACTACTCACAGGATGCATGAACTTGGACAAGTTATATGTCTTGTTTAATTATCTATAAAAACAAGCACAGTAACACTTATCTAATCGTTTATTGAAAGGATTAAATCAGATAACGAATGAAAAGCAATTAGGGCAGAATCTGACATACGGCTGGGGCAGTGATGTCCAGCAGAAATATAACGCCAGCCATCTACGTGATTTTAAATTTTCTAGGAGCCATTTTTTAAAAAATAAACACAGATGAAAAATTTACATATTTTATTTAACCAAATACACTCAAAACATTATCGTTTCAGCATGTAATCATTATAACAATTATTAATGAGATATTACTCTTTCTGCGCTATGTCTGAAATCCAGTGTTTATCTCTCCCATCTGCACCACTTCTCAGTTCGGGCTAGTGTCTACCATACCGCACAGCGCAGACCCACTGGTGGTTATCGTTTTGAGGCCCCGGGAGCCGACTCAACCTCCCATATTTGTCCAGAATACCGAGAGCGGCGAGGTGGTCCAACTGAAGATTATACCGGCTCGGAAACCAGTGTATAAGCCCCCAGGGTTCCGGGGAAGGAGGTGTTTCAGCTAAACGCCTCGGCCGAGACCCTGCTCCCAGCCTTCCTTAGGCCCCGGTCGCCTCTCCCTACTGCCGCTTTCCACACCCACCTCCCACCAGGCCCCTTGCCCCTACCTCTCTCCCCAGTTCCCTGCTGCAGCAGCCAGCGGCTCCTAATGAGAGATCAGGGATTCCACACTAAGGACGCTAACTCCACATTCGCCAGCCCATTCACTCAGCCAACTCTCAGGTAAGCGCCAGGGCTTTTTGAATGCAGTTCCCGCGAGAAGTCCCACATCTCACGAGATGTTCCTCCCAAGCGGCGCGTAAAGGAAAAACTCAGAGAAAAGCCCAACGGAGCGTCCCGCCCCCGCTACAGCTACTGCGCAGGTGCAAGTGGCGCGTCGTGAGCCTGGCGCCGGCGCAGATGTGGCTCCTTCTCGTAAATTGTACCTTGTGCTGGTTTCCAGTATGTTTTCTAAGTATCCGCTTTTAGTTGCCGTGTTTGGGTGTTCTTTTTGTTTGTTTGTTTATTTTACGACAATGCCTTCTAGGGGAAGAGTGTCGTTGGGCTGGGCAGTGGAGAATCACCTTTGGCACCATTGTGGTGCCAAAGGTGGCATTATAAGTTCCCACCATGTGCTAAATTTTACAGATTATCTCAGTTAAGCCCGCAGCCTTATGAGGTAGATATTACCCCTGTTTTCTACAGGGAAAAACAAACCCCAAAGGAAAAAAGTGTCCCGTCCAAGTGCTAGAACTAGAATTTAATGCAGTCTGATTCTAGAGTCCAAGCTGTTTGCATGTGTTTTTAATAATAATATTTTGTAAAGCTGATGGCTATTCATTATTCAAAAATTTAAGCAATCAGAAATAATAATAGCTAACATTTAGTGAGCACTGATGAATCCTGGTAACTGTTACATGTGCTTTTGAGCCCATCTTTTCTTGCCTATTTGAGGACTTGGCTCTAACTGTTCTTTTCTTGCATCTTCAGTTTTTTCTTCTCTATTGGATTTTCTCTACCAGCTCATAAACATACTGCCATGATTGTCATAAAAATCATTTCATGATTTCATTTTTAAAAAATACCTCCTGGACCCCAATCAGCAACCATCCCGTTTGTTTTCTTCTCTTTATAACAAAATTTCTGGGGGGAAAAAGTTTGCGTTCATTGTCTCCATTTTCTTACTTTTTGTTCTTTGTTTTTTGTTTTCTTCTCCCACTTTAACCAGGATTTTGTCCCCACCAATACCATGAAGTGGCTCTTGTTAGGTTTACCAGTAGTAATTCATACCTTGCAAAACTCGGTAGTCAATATTTAGTCCTCACTTCTGGTGACATTTGACAGATTTGTTTGCTCTTGTTGGGTCCTTATGTCTGGGATGCCACATTCTCCTTGTGCTCCTTTTCTCAGTTTCCTTTGCAGACTACAATTTCTGCCTGAGCTAAGCCAGACTCAAAGGGTTGATCTGAGCTTTAAGATTGGCAGCAAGTTGTTCACGGTGTAGTCTCACAGATGGATCTGGGGCTCTAATTAACCAGATGCTCATTCATTTGTAATCACGCCCGTGTTCTTGGATAAATGAGACAAATGCCATTTTCCCTGTCATTTAACAAAGATTCCTTAACTCAGGAGCCAGGAAAAGATTGTTCGAGCATAGGCCAGTTATGACTGGCTGCAATTAGGTAATCTAAAATCGATCTCAACTTATTTTTTCTCTTTTGTTACAAGAGAAGGTAGACCCTACATTATTGTTTCTTCCCATTTTATTTAAAAAATATAACATACATTTTAAACTATTAATTGAATGACTGAAATGTGTTAGGCATAGTGGAGGAATTCAGAGATGTGGTAAACTCGACTTATTGCCTAGAAGATGGCCACAATATAGTAAGAGATTTACAAAAAATGAAAAGAACTTACCGGACTGTAAATGCTATGTGCCCCACACTAATGGAGTTGTGTGAAGGGAGAGGTCTATTTTTGTCTGGATGTTCCTTGAAAACTTCCCAGTGCATGTGACACTTCAAGCAGGGCCTTGAAGGATGGCAGAGCTAAGAAGGGGTGCATTCAACGGGAGGGGACAGCATTAGTAAAGTTGTAGAGGCAACCTGTATCATAATTAAGGTCATTCTTTAGGCATGGCCTGAATACCCGGCTGCCAATACCACCACTGGACACTAGATGTCACAAGTGAAATGAATTCTAGATTGGCTCTACTTTTAAGATAACTTACATGGAACTTCTGATTTGCAGTACCATGCAGATCTCTGCTCAGGCAAGGTCCGCATACCATGGCCTGAATACCAAAGGTCAGGAAAAAGAAAAGAAACAACAACTTGTATCTGTTATTTCCATTTACATAGGGAGAGATGGGACTTGGCCTCCTCACACAGTAGTGGATTCACCAAGCATAGGACGGAAGCTTAGATTCTGGGAAAGAACACCCATCCCACAACTCTGTGCCCCTCAATTACAATTCCTAATATTATAGCTGTTCAAAACTGGGATAGACTGCTGTAGTGAACCTGTCGTCATTTCTTCATTGTGGCTGTTCCAGAAGAAACGGGATAATTAGTTATCAGAAATGATGTAGAAGGGACTGTTATGTTGTGTTGAAAGCTGCATATATTTTGACAGGAACTTATTGAATGATCATTTGTTTTGGGCAATACAGATGAATAGTCTGTGTATTAAATGAGCTTAGAGTTTAGTGGAAGAGACATGTACCAAACAATAAACAGTAAATCCTTACTTAGAGGATGACTTAGACTTTCTTGTTCCTTCACATTATTAAGTAGAACTGCAAGCTAGTCTTTATTGGGATCAAGCAAAAACAAGCTCAGGACTCTTGAGATACAGAGTCTGCAAATAAGAATGAGATTAAGAGGATAGGCCAGAATATGAAGTTCTGGAAGTTACACTCAAGGTTGCGGTCACTGAAACTTGGGGGATGGCCGAGATCAAGAAAAACAAAAACAAAAACAACAAAAAAACGAAAGCGAGAACAGAGGGCTGTGTGCAGGACTTTTGGGATTGTTGTAATCCATGACACAGGAGAAGAATACGATCCAACAAGAAAAACAGGACCCATGTGAGAAGAGATCAGGAAATTGGGTTGTCACAACTCCCACTGTGATAATTAGATATCAGAATGAATCTTATACCAGGCAGGTGGATTTGACTGCTTGTTACTAATAACGATAATGAAACCCAGTCTGCAATCTCTCCTATATCAACAGTGTATAGTGCCAGCTTGAACTCTGAATGAGCCTTATTGCTATACTATTTTTTCTCTAAATAGGGGAGTCTTCTCTCAGACAAAGGGTGCACCATCCCAATATAGTGGAGATTTATCAGCTAACATCTTAGCATGAATTCCTTCCTCCTTTTCCCACCAAGAGAATTCTATTATTCTTTTGTGTAATTCCCACTTTCTAAATTTTCAGCCATATGAATTCTTCAACATTGATGCTACCTTTCATCTCTAGGATATCCATCGCCCTGGTTACAGTCATTGGTTGAAAGATGTGCATGTGATAGAATCTAAGCCAATGAGATTTTTCACGGGGATGGCTTGAAAAAATGGTTTTTGTTAACTGCTTCTGTTATGGTCTGAATTGTGTCCTCATCCCCGTTGTTCCCCCCGACATATTCATATGTGGAAACCCTAATTTCTAATGTGACTGTATTTGGACACAGGGCCCTTTAGGTTAAATGAGGTCACAAGGGTGAGGCCTTAATTGATAGAGCTACCATCCTTAGAAGAAGAAGAGACATCAGAGATAGATCCACTTTCTCTTTCTCTCTCCTTCTCTTTCCTCCACTGCTCCCCAAGTGTACACAGTTAAAGGTCACGTGAGGACACAGTGATAAGGAGGCTGTCTGCAACCCAGTGAGAGTCCTCACTAGGAACCAGCCTTAGTCTTGGACTCCCAGCCTCCAGCACTGTGAGAAAATGTCTGTTATTTAAGCCACCCAGTCAGTGGTATTTTGTTACATTTGCCTGAGCGGATTAATACACCCTCTGTACTTAAACTTTGTAACCCAAAGCTTCCAGCTGCTAGCTTGGATTCATGAAGGAAAAATCTGCTTGAAAGAGAGGGAGCAAAGAGTCTTGGTCATGCAATTTGAGCCCTGTATCAAGCCTCCTATGAAGCTAAAGCTATACCTCGACTGTTCAGTTTTTGCTCCAATCACACAGCTTCACTTTGAGTTTTCTGCTGTTTGCAATATAAAGACTTTTTTTTTTTCCTTTTTGATATGGTGTCTTGCTCTGTTGCCCAAGCTATAATGCATTGGCGTGATTTCGCCTCACTACAACCTCTGCCTTCTGGGCTCAAGTTATTTTTCTGCTTCAGCCTCGCAAGTAGCTGGGATTACAGGTGGCTGCCACCACGTCTGGCTAATTTTTGTATTTTTAGTAGAGATGGGGTTTTGCCATATTGGCTAGGCTGGTCTTGAACTCCTGACCTCAAATGATCCGCCTGCCTTAGCCTCCCAAAGTGCTGGGATTAAAGGCATGAGCCACCACAGCCAGCCAACAACATAAAGGATTCTAACCAGTACACATAGTAATATTTGTGCCTGATCTTGAGTAGACTCATTCACCTGTGACGTTTAACCTGTCAAGTTCCCATTCTACATTTAGGCTTAAACGGAAAGTTGCTAACTTCCAGAGATTAGATCTAGCTTCTTTGAGAAAAATGCCTTAATCAAATGAAAAGAAAATTATCCTAAATAAAGGGGCTTAATGGTTTGTGGAGGAAAATAAAGACTCAATCAGCTTGCATGGAATCCCTTTCCTGGTTCCACTTCAGATTACCACCATACCATCTCTAAACTAACTTCTTCAGGTGATTTTAGTGCCTAAGCCAGTTAGAATTAAGACTGGATGTTTATATCAGTTATAATTTTTACTTGCTAAGAAGTGTGCTCACTCTGGTTAGTTTAAGATATACATGTATATTAAAAACGAGAGTCCTAACTTTTGCAACCATTTAGACTGTAGTTGTTAGAGATTCCTCCTTTTTAGCATCTATTACATATTCCTTATATTTTTTGACAATCCCTCAACTACTTGGGAGCTCTTCATCCAGTAAAGCAATCCAAAGCTTCACTATCCAATAAGACATATTCATTAGTCATTATTTAGATTACTCACTATTCTGTTGGCACAAATGCATTTGGCCGAAGTCATAGAGGGATAGGATAAAACTTAGGGTCTTTTTCTGTCTCTGAGGGCTTGAAACTGTGACACGCCACTTTTATGTATCTCAATTCAGTTGAAACAGGTGGTTGCTGATCTCGTAATGTTTAATTGAATGTATTTTGTTTCTAGGAAAAACAGCTTGGGATTGCCCAGTGCAGACAATAGACGCGAAAATT